ATAAAAAAAAAAAAAAAAAAGCTTTTTAATAGTGAAAGAATTTTTGAAATCGGCCCAATAGTTTTTGAATTATTTCAATACTTACAAAAATACAATTCTTTCTTCTTTATAATATTACTAGCTTTTGCTCGCGACTTCACTTGCGTGAAATTAAAAAAGATATAGCCTATATTACTCACAGATAAATTACCTATCTAACGGTGTAAGAATTTTTGAAATGCCAATGGTTTTTTTTAATTATGTCAAAACATACCAAAATAAAAAAAACTAACATTATAGTTTAATTAAATATAAAAAAAAAATATTGTTTTAATCTGTTTGTCGATTTCCAATTTGAAATTCTATTTACATTTGTAAAGTTTTTAGTAATCCAAAAGTCGAGTATCGTAAGGGTGTAGTATAAATGTTTACTACTCCAAATAAATATTAAAACCTCACAAGAGCGTGGCATAAAATAAATGTTGCCGTTTAAACTGGCTAGACGGGTTGCATACATCACACTTTCAGCAGCTCGTTCGAATAAACGAATACCGAAAACATAGCTTCGATACGCTTTCAATCTCTTTTGAAATGTTCCAACAATTTGTAAAATCGTTCTAAAATGCTGTTTATAATTTTATCACTATACAAAATAACATGAATTGCAGTTTCATTTGATATATGGGAAAGTTTTGATGGATGGGTGACTCTAAATCGGCTCAATGAATCTCGATGTAGATTGTCTGGAAGAACACAAGTTTGAATATATCAAATATGAGAAAAAAACTTTAGGACCAAATCTAAAAGAAATAGAAGTTCAATTGTTTTTAGATGCAGAAAATCCTCCATCTTACTAATATTATAAATGCGAAAGATTAGATGGATGGATGTTTGTAAGAGTTTGTAGCCCAAACGGCTGGACGGATCTCGAAGAAATTTGGCATAGATGTAGAGGATAGTCTGGAAGAACACATAGGCTACTCACTGTTATTTTTTTTAATTACACGCGGACGGAGTCGAGGGCAAAAGCTAGTACTCAATAATGGAAACTGCGTTAAAATGGATAAGTGATTGTTTTGAATAGTTAATTAGATGCATATGATAATGTTCTCCATTTGATCCGATAACCTTAGACAGATATCCAACGCTACGCTAGATGAATCTCAGATGCATGCTGTCCTTAAGTGAAATCCGCTATTGAAACCACCTAAGGCCGATTCCAGTATTCACAAAACCTAGTATAAAATATCAACAAAATTCTAGATCGTTTACAAGTGGAAATGTCGACGAAAACATCCGTGAAATTTAACATATTGAAGGGGGTGGAGCGATCCAGTACACCCAAAAGGTCGTTAGTCGCGCGCGTCGAGCCGGAATAATTGAATTACGTCAACGGTTATAGCTAGGATGTGACAGTTATGCAACGAGAAAGCTGCACGCTAATATAGACTTTATCAACATAAGGTTAGGTCGAACTGATAGCGCGACGGTTGACTTATTTGATTATACTTGAATGTATAAGTTTACTAAGAATGTTAATAACGTTAAGCCTGAGAATGTTATATT